TTGCCGGTGGAGAGCTGCAAATTTTGTCCTATACTCGGCACTTAGGGCAATTGAGCAGGGAGGAATGCTTTTCGTGCCAGCACCTACTGCAACACGGGACCTCGGTTTATACGATCTGATCCAAAGGTCCGGTCTCCACGTAACACAGCACAGTGGGATTCGAAGGTTTGAGGATTGACTCCTTACTTCGCGACTCTAAGGCAGACGCTCTTACCACTACGTCACGCGGGCGACGTTTTATTATTATTAAGAGGAATACCTATCTAATTCTTTGCACAATTCCTTAAGTAAAATCGTCAAAGTAAGGATGGATTGTATTGACACCTGTCCTACCTCTAACTGCCAATTCCAAGAAGATTGAGAATTTCTCAAAAATGCTACAAGAAATTGAAAACCAAATGGGAGGCATTTATGTACAAAGTAGCCACCCTTTTAAAAAACCCAATAAGTGGAAGTTTTCCCTCCTCACCCTACTAGTTGATACTGTCAGGTGGATATGAGAAATGTGTGATCATCCTCACCCCTCATTTGCTCTGGGGACTATGCCTATTGCGGAAATGTGCAACTTTTCTAATGATAACTAGGCTGAAGGACCCCAAATTCTGCCTTCATTGACTTCTTCCTGAATTTTGATGTTTTGCTCTGATGAGTGTGTTTTAGCTGATAGGAGGTTGTTTGTAAATAATCCACTGAATATGCAACTTTTCTAATGGTAACTGGGCTGAAGGACCCCAAATTCTGCCTTCATTGACTTCTTCCTGAATTTTGATGTTTTGCTCTGATGAGTGTGTTTTAGCTGATAGGAGGTTGTTTGCAAATAATCCACTGAATGTGCAACTTTTCTAATGGTAACTGGGCTGAAGGACTCCGAATTCTGCCTTCATTGACTTCTTCCTGAATTTTGAACTTTAGCTCTGATGAGTGTGTTTTAGCTGAGGTTGTTTGCAAATGTTCCACTGCTTGGACCCTCGTATAACAAAGAAAACCCCTCATGCAGTACCCCAGTTATACCTGCAGCTATATCCTTACTTGGATTTTGCTGAAGCAAGGGTGTTATTTGGTCAAGTTTAATGGGTAAAAAACCTACGTCCCAAAGCCTTGGGGCGTGGTCCCCGCTGGTTGATAGCATTTAAATTGTTGAAGTGGGACGAAAATTGTAGTTTTGTGGACAAGGACTTATGTTGTTGAAAGGGCGGGCTTAGTAACAATTTGGTGCATGCCTTGAGGTTTGTTGCACTTCATGGATACGTGTGCATATGTGCAACCCTGTTTAAATTAGTACAATAACATTGAAAATTGTTGTTGTAACATTTTGGCAGTGATGCAGGTGAGATATTTGACCCCCAGACATCACCACCCGCCACAATTCAGTGGCAGTATCTTCTTCTGAGGTTAATGTATGAAGTCTTAACTGCTCATCGTATTTCATAAAGTTGCCTCCTCTGTCTGCCCCGATTCGGACATCGTGCATGTGTTTGAATAAGGGTTGGGTTCTGTCTTTGTAAACTGAAAGATAAATGCTGCTAAATATTAAGAACATGTCGGTCCACTTTGCTATCGTAATTTTTTTTTCGCTTCGAATATTAGTATTGTGTTTGTGGGAGTCTCTGATGGCCGAGCCTTTAAAAGCTCAAAGAAATCAACCTATTGACTTTTATCAAACCCTCATTTAAATGATGTTTTCTAAGTGCGTTGTGGGTCAATAGGTCAATAACATAGGTGCAATTAATATCAAATCCAAAACAAGTATGTGTGCCTGAAGTATCTTGATCAGACAGTTCTGTGGCCTTGTCTGCTTCCGCTTGGGCACTGATACCAGTGAAGGAGTTGTCACAACCTCTACAGGTGCATGGTGTATGGTATCAGTACCAGTGGTTTGGGGTGGTGCCGAATACGTGGCTGTGGCTGCCGCCGGTCTGGCATGCGACTATTCGACTTCCAATATTTGCGTGGTGACATATTTTATGTTGTGCTAACGTGATATTTTGTTAAATAGCAATTTGGCAATTAAATATTAATTTTTTCCTCGTTTTTCATAATTATTTTCTGTATATTTTCTTGCTCTAAACTAAGAGTTGCATAAAGGCGATGCAGCATGTGCTACCTTCCTCGGGCTTTGTGGAAAGAAATGTTTTGAACTTCGGTAATATATTTTCAACCATCCACTGAAAACCATCGCAAATCCCGAAAAGTAACACCTTACTGTTTTCAGCCAATAAAATATCTTTACAAAAGACGCGTATCTACGTGTATGCATATAAATCTTACAAAGGTGGAGTAGAATTTTGAAAAGTTATTTATACCCAGCCTGATTAATAAGTATTGTTTACAATATTGTCAATTTAAATAAGTCCAGCTTAGGTTTTGTGATGATAAGAGACCAAGGGAAGCACTTCAGTCTATTTTCTATAAAGAGTAAATCAGGCATAGCTGTATTATGTTTTTCGTTGAAAAAAAAAAACAAACAACTTTGTTTAAAGATTGGTTGAATTTCTGAAGCCTTTTATTTTATTTTTTATTAAATTCTAAAATATATAAATGGTGGTGTTACAGGTAAATTGAAGTACTTGTTAAGAAGCTGCTGGCCCCGTTGTTAATTTGAAATCTGTGAAATCTTTTATGAAGTGAACCCTTGGTTTCACAAACATAACTCCACAAAGATTGCATTTTATTCCGTGGACAACACTGAAATATTTGAAGTTTAGATTTTTCCAAGTTTTGGCATAGAAGTTCTGTCCAGTAAGACCACTAGTTAAGATATGGAATTGGGTGAGGAATCTTCAAATATGTCTCTTGACTGAAGAAAATTACAATCTTTCAATTTTTTTGTATCAACTATCAGTTTACATGTATACAAAGTTTGGGAATCTGAAGACGTCACAAATAACATGTTTAATATCCCTAAGGATTATTCGATAGGCATCGAATGAACTCTTTGATTCTGTGTCCATTATAGACTTAAAAGTGTGACGCCTTTTTAGTCCGGGCTACGGGCAAACCATGTTTGCGTTGTTTTCTGAATAATTTTTCTGCAATCCACTCCAGATTACAAAGGAAGAATGTGAACAAATCAAAAATGTCTTGAAGGCTTAATTCATCTGATGATAAGTCTGATATCAAGCTGGCTTATTTATTGCAAAAGTACAATAAAGTTGCTCTCAAGTATAATACAAATACAACTTCACTTTCAAATACATTATTGCGATACTTCTATTCAAATAAATACAAAATGCTACTGGTTTGAAATTACATTTTAAATTCTGCTGTAATATTATTATAATATAAATATCATTTCATAATCATAAAAAGATAGCATATCAATATCAATTTGAAAATTCAATTCCTATAGTGTGTGCAGTTGTATGTTGTCAAAATATATATATCCATTTCTTAAAGATTAACATTCTTCAATGAACTTTGGTTATATATCATGTTCCCCTCTCTTTTATCGGGATATCGGGATCTAGAGATAAAAAAGATAAAATGCATGTGGAAACCACGCCAAAAGGTAAGATTATTAATTATTTCTTTTTAATATATATATATATACATATATATATATATATATATATATATATATATATATATATATATATATATATATATATATATATATAGTAAGTAAAAATAATTAAAAAGAAAACACGAAGACAACAAAGTAAAGCATTAGCACTTTCATTTAAAAATCTTCAGATGCTTTACAATCAAGTTTTTTAACTGTCACATAGTAACGCCTACTATAACGCTAATTATGACGTCATAGTAGGCGTTACTATGTGACAGTTAAAAATCTTGATTGTAAAGCATCTAAGATTTTTAAATGAAAGCGCTAATGCTTTACTTTGTTGTCTTCGTGTTTTCTTTTTAATTATTTTTACTATACAACTATACCGACCACTGTGAATTCATGGACTTCTGATATATATATATACATATATATATATATATATATATATATATATATATATATATATATATATATATATATATATATATAAAATAAAAAACTTTAAAACACTTTTCGAAATATTTCAACCGTGTTACCGGCCTTCATCAGTCCTGTTTATTTCAATGCATAGCAACTCAACAGTATTATGACGTCACAATGAACATAGAAATTGAGAGGCAACGTCATGCAATAAAATTGCGCCAAAAACATCTGAAAATATTGAGAGCAAAAATTGTACTTAAGGAATGAATTTAATAGCTACCCATTTTATACGGTATAAACTGGGTTGGGGCAGTTTACGCTTTATAAACCACGATGCAGTTTATAAAAAAGCGTAAACTGTTCCAACCCAGTTTATACCGTATAAAATGGGTAGCTATTAATTTCATTGCTTGTAATTTAATTTTCATTCATTTGATGTAAGAAAAAAAGATGATTGTTCTAACAAAATTGACGTAAGTCATTGTGACGTAGGCAACCCATTTTATACGATATGAAGTAAATTTTTTATCCAATCAAATACAGCGTTACAACCAGAATTAAATTATTTGTGTATCAAAATTTTTATCATACAGAATAAAATACTAGAATACGGGGTATATTAAAAAGATGATTTTAAAGTATATATAAAAGTATATCTGTTAAAAATAAGTATCACAGTCACACAAATGTTCATAAAGTTCATAAATCCAATTCAAAGACAGAAGTGTTCTCTTTTGTTAATACCAAATTGTATATAAGTGTTCAACTTTTTCTTCCAAAGATTTTCTCTATATTATCGGTAAATATATTGAAACAGAAAAAAATCCACAGTGCTCGGTAGTTTACAGGTAAATCTTTTTAAAAAAGAAACACGAAAACCTTTAGTTTAGCTTAAGCGCTTTCATTTCAAATCTTCAGAAGCTTTACAATACGTAACATAGCAACATAACGTCATAACGTCATAATAAGCGGAACATTACATACAAATGTCTATTGTGACGTCATAGTTAAACTTTGCGGGAAAACTGTAGAATGAAAATAATAAGTATAATTTTTACAACAATTATGCTCAATTGTTCAGTCTAGGTTTGAACATATGTATAAAATGTTTTTCTTTCTCACGTCTCTGAATATCACTTTCACTTGAAAGTTTGTAAAAAGGAAATATAGTGAATTGTTTATTTCCACAAGTATCCAAATTTTCACTCAGAGGGATCTGCCGATATTCTGGAGAGTTAATATGTTGTCGGTGGACACGCACCCGGGCACGCAATTGATTGCTCGTTTCCCCGATATAAAATTCTTGGCATCCAGCACACGTTATTACATATATTACATTTTTAGTGGCACAAGACATGTTTGCATTGACTTTGAATTGTCTTCCATTAAAGTCAGAAGTTGATCCTTCCATTATATGTGTACACGTCCCGCAACGCGCGTCTTCACACTTAGTCACTTTGTAACTATTCTTAAAATGGGACGAACACAGAATTCTTCTAAGATTCTTGGGCTGTCTTCTGCTGTTAACAAATTTTACATCTCTATATATTTGTTGTGTTGACCGGTCCGTTTTCAGAGCGTTGTTAAGTTGGTGTACTACGGGGGTCAAATTGTGATTCCTTGGATTGTGGGTATGCACAAATGGAATTATATCCGTTTTATTTTCCTGGGTTTTTGTAGACAGTAATTCTGACCGTTCATATCCTTTGGCTTTCAATATCCCGTTATCTATCAGGTTTTGAGGATATCCCTGTTTTAAAAGGTATAACTTGAGTTCTTTTAGTCGGATATCTCTGGTGTTTTCGTCCCTAACGATAGCACATAAACGTCTAGCCAGATTGTATGGAATTGCTGTTTTTGTGTGATGAGGGTGACAGGATCCAAAATGTAAATACTGGTGGGTGTCAGTTGATTTGTAGAAGATATCCGTTGAAAGTTTGGTATCTTCTTTGACGACAAGAACGTCAAGGAAAGGTAATTCCATATCGCTGCTTTCCATGGTAAATTTAATGTTGGAATCTAAGTCGTTTAATAATTGGTGGAAAGTTGATAATCTCTCAATGTTGTCATTCCAAAGAATGAAACAGTCATCCAAAAATCGTTTCCACTTTGATGTTATAGCTTCAGCGTCCTCTTCTCCCCATAGAGTGACAAGTTGTTGATGGAGTTTTTGCTCGAGGTATCCCAAAGTTAAGGTGGCATACGTGGGAGCTACTTTTATTCCCATCGCTGTTCCTTTGGTTTGAATAAAATGCTCCATTCCGAAGGCAAATGTATTGTTTTGAAGTATAATTCTTAATCCTTCTAAGATGAATTCTTGCTCAAAACGATCCTGTAGTAAGTCTGGGTATCTATCAATCCAGTATTTAACCGCTTTTATACCCAAGTCCACAGGTATATTTGTGTATAAATTCACGACGTCGAATGACACGAGTTTCGTATTAGGTTGAATATGTTCTGGTAGGTGGTTGATAAAATCTATATCATCTCTTATAAAACTGGGAACCTTTTCAAAATAAGGCTTTAATAAAATGTCTAACAAGTGACTCAGTCTTTGAGTTGAACAATTAGGCCCCCCTACGATTGGCCGAAAAGAGAGATCTTCAGGATTTAGACAGCACATATATTCTCCTTTCTGAGCTTGTATGGCGTTTTTGATTTCTGATGACTTGTGTACTTTTGGTAATCCGTAAAATTGACTCTCTTTTGTTTCAAAGTTTGTGAGATAGTCTTTCTCCTTAACAGTTATATCTCCCGAGGATGGCCCACTGACAAGTTGTTTTATCTTTGCTAAAGTTTTTGTCTCGTGATTTGCATTAATACTCCCATAGTAGTTAGGGTCCTGTAGCATATTCAAAATCTTACGTTCGTAATATGTTTTATTCATGAAGACTACTCCACCTCCTTTGTCGGCTTCTTTGATAACGATACTTTCGTCATTATGTAAGTCATTTAAAGCTTTTTGCTCTTCTTTTGTGAGATTAGATCTAATATTCTTCTTAATATTAGGTAGGTTTATATTATCTAGGGTTTCACATACCGTATCTAGAGTTCGATTTCTACCTCGTTTTGGAATAAAGTGGGATTTATTTCTAACCAGGTCCTCTGGTTCCTCATTTTCACTATCTTCTGTTGATTCGTTGTTATCTTCGTAAAAGTATTCCCTTAGTCGTAGTCGCCTTGTATATTCCTTTACGTCCGTTTTAAGTTCTTGGTTATTCATACGTGGGGTGGGTGTATATTTCAAGCCTCTAGATAATAACTTTATCTCTGCTTTAGTTAAAATCCTATCTGAAAGATTAAACACTTTAGGATCAACTTCTATTGATTCCTTGGTTTTATTTGTTTCCTCAACATCAACTAAATTTGCGTTGTCTGTTGATATAATTGTGGTATGTGCCTCTGTCCTTGGTTGGGCTTGCCGCCTCCTAAAAAATAGTGCCGCACACCACGTCCGATGAAAGTTGTTTTCTCATTTCTATAAATGTTTGAGGGTTTGTACCGTCTAATAATCCGTTGGTGATGGTGGGTATTATTTTGTAGGTGGTTAATTCCTTGTTGGTATTTCCTCTTAAAGTCATGGTTTTTCGGATAGGAGTGGGGCGAATTTCGTTTCGCGTTATTAAAAGTTGTCCATCGAGTGTAATGGCGATGTAGACTTTGTTTTGGGGGCATTGCTTGATGTGCTTTCTGATTTCTCGTGGCATTGGGATTCGATCCAGTCCGCATGGTATCATTGCTCACAACAGATGCATAGGTAGCTCTTGTCGTATCATTCTTACCAGAGTTTTTTGGTCCTGGTTTTCTTATTAACTGTTTTCCTCTTGGCTGTTTAGTAGACTCCTTGCCATATGTTTTTGCGTAGTCTAATAGCCAGGTTTCCGTGAATCTCCATCTGTTAAATGATTTGTCCTCTTCCTTTTGACAATCAGATTTCCATAGTTTTTGAGGCATTTCTAGAATTACTCCAGTGGCGTTATTTTCAGATCCATTTCCTCGTCTAATCTTAAGACATTTCTCTGGTTTTTCTCTCCTCTCATCCGCAGTAACTCTATTTCACCTCTAACGCGATTTTTAGCAACCTCTATACGGACTGCAGTTTGATCCTTAGGTTCTCCTCGGATTTCCTTTATCCTGAACTTTCTAGGTATGATAGGACTTTCCTGGTTTATCCATTTTTCAAAGTAATCTGCATGGTTAGCATTGTTGATTTGCTTCCAGTATGTTTGTTTCCTAAAATTGAGAATCCTGCTCCATTCACTTTTCATCTTTTGCTTAATACGGTAAGCCTCCTTCTGCAAAACTAGCTCATTCATTTCTCTTTGTAAAATCAAAGTTGGTGATTGATATACATTTTCCTCAGTTCCGGTGGTTTTTACAATTGTTTCCTCTGTATCCTCAAAATTGTAAGGAAAAGCATTTTGTAATTCTCGCTCAGTGCCTGAAGAACGCTTCACAACATCAATCAATTCTTCTAATAGTTTGTTTGTAGTATCCGTTTTCTTCAAAAGTTCCGCTATTGAATTATCAATCAATGGAAAGCAGCGATATGGAATTACCTTTCCTTGACGTTCTTGTCGTCAAAGAAGATACCAAACTTTCAACGGATATCTTCTACAGATCAACTGACACCCACCAGTATTTACATTTTGGATCCTGTCACCCTCATCACACAAAAACAGCAATTCCATACAATCTGGCTAGACGTTTATGTGCTATCGTTAGTGACGAAAACACCAGAGATATCCGACTAAAAGAACTCAAGTTATACCTTTTAAAACAGGGATATCCTCAAAACCTGATAGATAACGGGATATTGAAAGCCAAAGGATATGAACGGTCAGAATTACTGTCTACAAAAACCCAGGAAAATAAAACGGATATAATTCCATTTGTGCATACCCACAATCCAAGGAATCACAATTTGACCCCCGTAGTACACCAACTTAACAACGTTCTGAAAACGGACCGGTCAACACAACAAATATATAGAGATGTAAAATTTATTAACAGCAGAAGACAGCCCAAGAATCTTAGAAGAATTCTGTGTTCGTCCCATTTTAAGAATAGTTACAAAGTGACTAAGTGTGAAGACGCGCGTTGCGGGACGTGTACACATATAATGGAAGGATCAACTTCTGACTTTCATGGAAGACAATTCAAAGTCAATGCAAACATGTCTTGTGCCACTAAAAATGTAATATATGTAATAACGTGAGCTGGATGCCAAGAATTTTATATCGGGGAAACGAGCAATCAATTGCGTGCCCGGGTGCGTGTCCACAGACAACATATTCACCCATTCTCAATATAAGGGCTCAAATAATGTCGCCTCATTTTCATTTAGAAGTAATACCACTGATGTAATTTTTAAATCAACATTATAAATAGTCATATAACAATGAATAAGAATTCATATAATTATCGATCTGAAAGGGTATTTAAGGAGTTCCAAATTCAAATATAGTAGCCTATTTGAAATGTACGTTACTGTCGCCGAGGCAAATATTATGCTGAATCCCCTCTGTGTAATATATAGTTTTGATTCTCAAGTAAAAATTTTCTGATAAGTTAAACCTTGTATCATATATATTTCTTTTCATAACAATAAATACATTTTCTTTGTGATAATAAATAACTTTTATTGTGCAATGTCCCTGTCGCTTAATTCTATTTCAACCACATTACAAGCAAACACAAAGATTATACACCTGATAGTTTTGTTCTCCTTTATTTATTGATGGGCTAAATTTGAAATTTCAAAGGATTAATTACTCCTACTTAGATAATGTAACATGAAATTGAACAATTTGAGCAACTTTTATCAATATGTTTACGGAATGAAAGACATTTTCAATCGTAGAGATAAGAAAGAAATGTACGTTACCTATATTCTTCCATTAAGAATATATATTAAGTAGGAAATATGAGACGATTCTGAATAAGCAACCCCTTGTATCCTGTAAACTGGCAAAGACGTTTTGCTTAACACAATTAAAAATTATTTTTTACATGAAAAGTGATCATTTGAAATGTACGTGACTGAAATGTACTTACCATGAAATTCGAATTAAGTGAACTTTGCACGAATTTTCATGTATTCTCATACTTTCACACACTCGAATGTGTACACAAAGGAAAGTGTCAAAGGTTGGAGGTCGGCTAAATTCCAAAATTAATGAAAAGAAACGTTTCTGCTGAGGAAAAAATATATAGTAAGGTCAATTATATGTAATATAATTTTGATACCTGGTATATATTTCTGAATACGATACCTGTATGATGCATTTCTTATGATATGCAAGTTCAAATAGTATCAATATATTGCGTGTCTAACGTATAGAATTGATTTTTATATTTGAAATGTACGTTACGTATGGTAACGTACATTTTGCGTATTTCTAACTGACATTTTTTTTTAATTTAGTCAATGAATTGCGTTTACACGAGCGAAACAAAATTATCGTTACAATCCATTTGACAACTGACCACATAAATCCATCGAAATGCACCCCCAATGCTCGTAAATGTGGTAGACTGTTACCACATGCTAGAAAATTTATTTCTAAGTGTCTTAAATTCATCTTTGGCAACCTTTTTGCAGTTTGTTTACTTTTAATATGCGACTTTTCGTCAATATTAATTTAATTGTTGTTGATAATCTAAAACAAGGTATGTATAGGCTTATAATTGGTAAAAAAAAAAGAACAAACAAACAAAAAAAAAGAAAAAGAAACAAAACAAATAAACCCAGAACACAAGACGGTCACGAACATTTCAAATACTGAAAGGCACACAATACTCAGTTTTGTTTGAATCATTGCATTTTGGGTTATATTTTTCCAGATCTGCTGAAAAGCACGTATGTTTGTGTTTTGACAAACGATGTTGCAACATACTAAATGAAATTGTTAACAAGACTGTCGATGGATATATTCGGAATAGATTTATGTTAAGTTTCAATGGCCAAACACGAGCATTTGTTAGATCATAGCAAAATACGTCTGACTCTTATTTTTTGGCTGTACCCTTGCACACAGGTAGAAGTAACTAGGCTACGACCGGTGTCAATTTCAGCGAAACAGCACAAAAGAATGGTTGATCTGAGATGGAGGGGACTCCCAAATAATATGTGAAATGAATGTTACCGAAGTGACGTGACATTCATGTAGTTGATGACAAATAACCTCGTTTGTTACATTATGATTTCTTATATTACTGCGTTAAAACGTTTCATTGAAATGATTTTTATGTCAATAATTGCTTTTTTTCAATATTTTCTTATTACTAATTTACATATTATTACAAGCTTGAAATGTACGTTACCTACTCATATTCTGAGGCAATCGTGTCTTTATAGTGGTGATTGTGACATATAACACAATGTGATTACATAGAGAATCTTTTTTGGAATAAACTGAAACAAAACGATGAATTTTTAGATGAATTTTTAGCTTTTTATTAAACAGAAATATATCTTGAAATGTACATTATATTTACGTAGTTTTCTAAATCGGCATGGATATATGTTAAAAAAGACAGTAACTACAAAATAGAATTTTACTACATGTACATGTTAAGTCCCAGTATCTATAGAAAATGACAAGATTCCAAACTGATCGCTCTAAACAAAATAGAGAGAAGAATTTAAAGCATATATTTAAAAAATGTTTTTATACATCTGGATCAAAAAGTAACCTTTGTTTTTTGAAAGGAAAAATCAAACGCACGTTCGTATGCCGAGAAAATATGTTGCTGACAGAGTTAGTAGGATGTGCTGGTGTTAAGATGAGATATTCCAATTGTGATTTTAATGACTACATTTTTTTGACATGTCTTTTTGGACATTGAAAAAAGAGTAACGTACATTTCAAGCTACATTTCTGAATAAAATCACCCTCTACTTTACCGTCTTGTCATTATTCCATGTATTAAAATTTGATGAAAAAAAATCTGGAAACAAAATCTTCAGATACTTTCTTTCAAAGGTAATTGATAGGAAAATTGTTATCTTGAACTTCATTGTTTAAAAAATCAGAGAGGCATTTGTGCCCTTATATTGAGAATGGGTGATTAACTCTCCAGAATATCGGCAAATCCCTCTGAGTGAACATTTGGATACTTGTGGAAATAAACAATTCACTATATTTCCTTTTTACAAACTTTCAAGTGAAAGTGATATTCAGAGACGTGAGAAAGAAAAACATTTTATACATATGTTCAAACCTAGACTGAACAATTGAGCATAATTGTTGTAAAAATTATACTTATTATTTTCATTCTACAGTTTTCCCGCAAAGTTTAACTATGACGTCACAATAGACATTTGTATGTAATGTTCCGCTTATTATGACGTTATGACGTTATGTTGCTATGTTACGTATTGTAATGCTTCTGAAGATTAACTAAAGGTTATATATATATATATATATATATATATATATATATAATTATAAAAGAAAAAGAAAATGAAGTTTCCAAATTTCATTTAACACAAGCGCTTTCTGGATCTCATAATCCGTCTTCAGGTGTACACAAATTGAACTGATTGTTTTGCTTAGTAACGTAAAGTACCCAGAGTTAATTCCAAGAAACATTTCTTCAGAATTTATCCTAGACTCAGTTAGATTTATACTGGAAAACAACACATTTCATTTTGATGGAGATTTTTATAAACAGATCAAAGGAACCGCCATGGGGACTAAAATGGCACCAACATACAGCATCCTTGTTATGGGATTGTTTGAAGAAACATTGTATCAAAAGGTTTCCGATGAACTGGGCCAAGAGATTGGAAAACATTTAAGGGATTATTGGAAACAATTTTTAGATGACTGTTTCCTATTTTGGAACAAATCAGAAGAGGATTTACAAACACTCTACACGTTACTAAATTCAATAAACCCAAATCTTCAATTCACAATGGAGCACAGTGATTCCTCTATTCCTTTCCT